ATTCTGTGTTTTTCTGTCAATATGGGGTGCTGTGTGTACATTAATGAGGAAAAAAAATGAACTTAAATGATTTTAGCATATGGCTGCAATATAACAAAGAGTGAAAAATTTAAGGCGGTCTGAATACTTTCTGTACCCACTGTTCATACATGATTACCACCAAGACGCCAGATGTGTGATTGGAGACAAGCACAGTAAGTACAGCACTGGCCAATACAAAAATTATTTAAAAATAAAATGTAGTTGCCTCAATATTACTTAATTGATCTTTTAGAAATTTGTTCTATTTAATCGAGGTATTAAAATCATCAGCTTCAAGGAGCATGACCTTGTTCCACAGCATCAGTCTCATTTTATTGTGTGTGAGGATTGGTAGTAGGCTGGCACTTGAAACAAATGAGGTGTTACTTGCACTGTGCCTGCTGCTTTGACATGCAAAGAATTGGCCATTTGGGTTTGTATTTTTAAGGAGAAACTATCCAACTGCATGAGAATAAGATTAAAAACAAAACTAGATTTGAAAATATCTACATTCATTATATTTATTCATTGTTGTGAATGTAACTGAGACCAGTTACAATAAACTCAACCTAATGATGGATTTTGTCAGATAGGTCACACCACCAAATGCATAAAATTTTGGTAGAATAAAAGAAAGCAGGAAAAACAGTTGATTACCTTTGTCTTTCTCAGCTCTATAGCTCATATGCAAAGACTGATACGCTGTGAGATTGATGCAGCTGTGCCACCTAGTGGCAACTTTACATGGTGTGAAACATAGAAAAATGTCCTTGATGGACTACGATGTACATGATGAAGCAATCTAATTATACTGTGTAGTAGGCTTTATGTCTCATATGTTAGGCTGGTTTTTCAATTTAAATTAAGGCATTTATGGGACCTCCAGCAGTGTCCTAAATGCAAAACAGACAATATCTTCTTTTTATGATAAAAAAAGAAAAATACAAAAATATCATACAGAATTAAGGATATGCATTGCAACCCTGAGTCCATCACCACAGGACTGGTAGTAGTTTCCCCACACTCAGACACAGAGTTTGGTTGTGGCCCAATAGGACATATTTACTGTTTCAGAGCCAGTAAATCATGTTGAGCAGTGCTGTCAAATTTGCATGTCTTTCGGCCAGATGATCGTGGCACACAAAGAATTCAAAGCAGTGCAATATAATGTTAGCTGGAGAATCAGTGCCTCAGTCACGTGTTATGTTAGCAGTTATAAAAGGGCTGTCGTAGCCTCTGTATCATTC